CTTCTTCTCCTACTACTCCTCCTCCTCCTCCTCTTCTTCTCCTTCTTCTCCTACTTCTCCTCCTCCTCCTCCTCCTCCTCCTTCTTCTTCTTCCCAAACTGAGGCTTGAATTCAGAACCTGGACATTGTCTCTTAACTTTTTCACTCAAAGCTGGGACACTACCGCTTAAACCCTAGCTCCACTTTGGGCTTTAAAAAAAATTGATTGTCAAGGTGATATACAATGGGATTACAGTTACATACGTCCAGTAAAGAATACATTTCTTTTGGGGAAATCCCCTCCCCCCCCCCACTCTCCTCCCCACTTCTGGCTTCGTGGTAGCTAACTGGAGATAAGAGTATCTCAGATTTATCTCCCCTGAGCTGGCTCTGAATATCAATAATCAGATCTCAGCCTCCAGAATAGTTGGGATTACAGGCTTAATCTACTGGCCTTTGGCTTCAAGATAAATTTGCAATCTCCAGCCCAGGTGTCCCTTATCTCTGGTCTTCTTCACCTCAGAGGCCTTGGGGGGAGCACCCTCTAGCAAGCCTCCTCCATACCAGTGAGACCATCTGATTGTGATTGCGAGTTTACCCCCATTGGCTCTAGGGGGAAGAGGAGTTGAGGAAGGACTTACCAAGCTAAGGCTGGATGTGGGTGGCAAGAAAAACTGGGACAAAAAAGCAGAGGTGGAAGCTGGGCACCAGTGGCTCTCGCCTGTCATCCTAGCTACTCTGAAGCTTGAGTATCACAGTTCAAAACCAGCCCCGGCAGGAAAATACATGAGATTCTTATCTCCAAAAAGCCAGAAGTAGAATTGTTGGTCAAGTGGTAGAGCACTAGCTTTGAGCACAGAAGCTCAGGGACAGTGCCCAGGTCCTGAGTTTAAGCCTGAGACTAGCCAAAAAAAAAAAAGAAGAAGAAGAAAAAACAAAAAACAAAAAGCAGAGTTGAGGAGGGGAGTGAGTTGAAGTTTTCCGAGGGTTTTAAGAGGAGGGAGAGGGCTGGGAAGGTGGCTTAGTGGTAGAATGCTTGCCTAGGATACATGAAGCCCTGGGTTCGATTCCTCAGTACCACATACACAGAAAAAGCCAGAAGTGGCACTGGGGCTCAAGTGGTAGAGTGCTAGCCTGAGCAAAAGAAGCTCAGGGACAGTGCCCAGGCCACAAATCTCCAAGTCTGGCAAGCAAAAGTGAGAGACAGAGAGGGGGGGGAGGGAGGGAGAAAGAGAGGGAGAGAAGTAGAGAGGGAAAGAGGCTCCTGAGCCAGGACCCATGATTGGTTCCAGGTCCCTATTCTGTGGCCTCTGGTTCTGGGGGAAAGACTGGGCTAGGCACCAAGCAGGCTGGAGAAATCCTGAATGCATGCCAGCCAGACAGTGACCCTTTGGTTTTCTCAACTCAGGCCAGAGTGATAAGGACACTGGGGTCAAGTCTTGGCCAAGGTCATCTACATCCAGTCCCCCACTGGGTGAGAACCCAGGCTTGTTCCGCTCCACTTTTCACCCTGGAGAATCCCTGGTAGACTGCCAGAGGCCAAGGCCGAGGCAGTAGGGGCAGTGGGGCATTCTCTCTTGGTGCCTGGCTTGGCCCTTAGCCACTGGCGGGTAAGAGGGAGGACAGGGCTCAGGCTGGGCAGCTAAGATTGAGAAAAGGGCCTGGGAAGCTGCGAATGGCTTAGTGGTAGAGTGCTTGCCTAGCATGCATGCAGCCTGGGTTCGATTCCTCAGTATCACATCAACAGAAAAAGCCAGAAGTGGTGCTGGGGCTCCAGTGGTAGAGTGCTAGCCTTGAGCAAAAGAAGCACAGAGACAGTGCCCAGGCCCCAGGATTGGCAAAAAAAAAAAAAAAAAAAGGAATGAAGAAAGTAAGGAATGAGAGAAGGAAGAGGACAGACCTCCCTCACACAAGAGGATGGGCTCCAGGGGAGCCTCGGTTTCCCCATCTGAGGAGGGGAAAGCAGGATGTAGGAATTGAGGAGGGGGCTGGGTTGAGTATAGGCATCTGCAAGAGACCACTGATTGCTATTTCTTCTTCTTCTTCTTCTTCTTCTTCTTCTTCTTCTTCTTCTTCTTCTTCTTCTTCTCCTCCTC